AGTCAAATGTAAAGCAAAACAGTGGATGTTGTATTGTTTTTTACCAGTTATTGGTCGTTGTATTTTTCTTTTACTAATAAAAATTTAAATTAAAAAAAAAGATCCTTCAAACCTAACATTTACATTGGATGGCCTTGCTCCAATGCTGAGTGGAAGTACTCTTCATCCATTCATGAGTTCTGATAAAACTATCTTACCATGACATTGTGGCCATTGCAAATACTTATCTTGCCTTTCTGTCAGCCTAGAGTCCTTTTAAAGATGTTGACTCTGGTTAGAACAAGATAGCCATTCCGTTGTCTCCCAGAGCTGGACACCACTGTCTTGTGGTCTTCTTGTGAGGAGCAAGTGTCACTTTATATGAGCTCAAGTCCTTTCCTTGCCTGGAGAGGAACTATAATTAGCAATAGCACTTATATACTGCTTCACAGTGCTTTGCAGCACTTTCTAAGTGGTTTACAGAGTCAGCATATTTTCCCCGAGTCCTCATTTTACCCATCTCAGAATGATGGAGGGCTGAGTCAACTTTGAGTCGCTGAGAATCGAACTGCTGGCAGCTGACAGTCAGCAGAAGTAGGCTGCAGTACTGCACTCTAACCACTGCACCACCATGACTCATAAAGAGCCTGTCTATTTGTTGCCTCTTCATTCTGCTGTTGTTGGTTCTGTTTTTTATAGGGAAGCCATCTTCAGTCTATTTCTCCCTTGAGAACTGACCATTCCTAATTCTCCAGAGATCAAGGAAGGGACAAGCGAAGCATATTCAAACATGCAGGATTCTACTCCTATAACTTTATAATAAACATAGCATTAACATCAGTAATTTTGCTTTCCTAGTCTAATCTATGTTAGATAGTTAAGGTATGTTTAATATTATCAACTATTTAAGATTGGGTGTTAAACTTGATTTTAGTTAGATGTGAGCAGTCTCTGAAAAAGCAGTGGAATTGGAGTAATATTTAAAAATATCCTGAAAGAGATATCATTGCTCACTACTGTAGCTTTATTGAATACACTCTGGCTAAAATTTTCTATTTCACTTTGTTCATTCTCTTTTACAGGAGAAAATACTCTCACATATGTGGCGCCTGCCATCTCTCTCTATTCATGGGATAGAGGGAGCTTTTTACGAACCAGGTATCAAAACAGTTATACCATCAAAAGTCATAGGAAAGTTTTCGATCCGGCAAGTCCCCCATATGGACCTGTCTAAAGTGGAACACCAGGTAATATTTTCCTGAAACCTTGTATGACTCTCAACATATCTTAAATGATTTGTTATTGATCTTTAGCATAATTCTGAGTGGCTTAGTCTGACACAGTTTTGGTACCAAGCTTCTTTTTCATAATGAGATATGAAAAATGAGCAGCTAAGCAAAAAGTTTTATTATGTGCAAGAGAGCTTGAGATCAGGATTCTGTCATCCTATTGGGTTATTCCATTCTCATGTTATAGTAGTATAAGCTCTGAACAGTTTGTTATTAATGGGCCAAGGAGACTGATGGAAAACTGACTTCCTAGATCAGATTCAGCTGCATGCCTGATTGTTTTTGGTTCCTTCACTACTTAACATTGCAGGCTTTTTCTAATGGCTTGCCAGTTTTTAATAGCTTTTCAGGGCTCTGTCTATGGATAACAAGAATGATGTGAAGTGATTTGGTTGCAAAATTCAGATCCCAATAGCATTTGATTGCCAAGGGACACATCTCTTGCCCAAATCACAACTCTCTCTTCCTCAGATTGTTCAGTTGTAGCCATGGGAGGGAACGAAACTGCTTGCAGCTCAGATTCTGAGTGCGAAAAATCCTGACACTGGCACAGGCTGAAGACTGAGAAGAGACTCTAACTTGAAGAAAATTAAAGAAAAGCAGACATCTCAGAGGGAAATTGAAGATGAGGCAGGAAGGGTTACTGTGGCAGGGCCATCTGTGGACGGTGATGATAATCAAGCCCCATTTCTTTTTATGTCCTTTGATTGGACAGTTGTTCCTATCATCTTGATTTGGTTGATACTCCTCCTCCCACCAATTTCCTACCTAGCTCATTCATTCAGTTAGAGGTTTTCGGTTTTGAGCTGTACACAATAGAAGTAACAGTTTAAAAGACCATTAAAAAACAACCCTGAAAATAATTTATTTCTTTTTTTAGGTGAAAAAACATTTAGAAGATGTATTCTCTAATCGAAGAAGTCCAAATAAGTTGACGGTGTCTATGCTAATGGGTGCAGTGCCTTGGATTGCTAATATTAATGATCCTCAGTATACAGCTGCTAGAAAGGCAATCAGAAAAGGTTTGTACTATTTTAGGCATTGCAATTTATGTTTTGCATGTAGGACAAACATTTATATAATATTTGTGGGTTTGTGGCAAAGACCAAACATTTATATAATATTTGTGGGTTTAAAGTTCTAGAGAAGTGGAAATAGAAAATTGTCAGATACAGAAAGAAGCTATGGTTCAGTTACACAATACTTTTGTTCTGTTTCAAATACCACATCTGTATGTTGCATCATAAGCACTTTTGAAGGGATTTCAAAAATAGATGATAGAGGTCAAGCAGGACAGGGGATAAAAAGTACCCATTCAAGCTTCCCCCCCGTGTCTTTTCAAACTTAAGCACAGCAGGGAACATTGGAATTGCTCAGTTAGTTTATATGATTGATTTATTTATTTATTTATTT